TTGCTCAAGAGTGCGAGCTCTAAGCAACAGTGGTTCGATGCCTGGCCCAAGCTGAGCTGCCCCTAAGGGGCCAACAGGTGGCAGGATGGCTCAGCTAAAAAAAAAAAAAAATGGAATTACTGTCACCTTCTGAAGGATAATATAGTTAATAATATTGTGGTAAGTTTAGATAAGTTTAAATGGTGACAGGTAATTACTAGACTTCATGTGGTGGTCACATTGTAAGGTATATAAATGTCAGATCACTGTATTGTACATCTGAAACTAATATAATATTGTATACTTACTATACTTAAGTAAAAAGGAAATTATATTTTGAAAATAGAAAAAGTTATTATTGTCACCTATGTTATGTATGATAATAGCATACTAGTTATGTTTTAAAAGAACCTCTTTTTTACATGAATAATGAAGTATTTGCAGGTGAAATCATATAATGTTTGAGTGTTTCTTTTTCTTTTAAAAAATCCAGATCATAAAAAATCCAGAAAAAAAATGTGAGGTCAGATAAAACAAAAGCAACAAAATTGTTGTTTTTGTTGAAGATGATGAGTCAATGAGAGTTCCTTATTCTCTCTTCATTTGTATATGTGTAAAATTTTCATAATAAAAATGTTTAAGTTGCTTCATTTTAAATTTCTATAATTTACTTTGTACTTAGCCTTGTTAATTTTTTGAAAATGCACATTCAGATTGGTTAAATACCAATTAATAAAGTGTCTTTGAAATCCTCATAGTAGATACTTGATCAGTCCCATTTTTTCAGATCTTCCTCTCAAGTCCCCCTTCTTTCTTTTCCATCTGGATTAACAGCACATTGGGCTTTCTGCATAGCTGTCTAGGCATTCTTTCTCCATGATCCTGGGCTGCCATATCAGTTTTCTTACATTGGACTCACTCTCTCCCTATTTGTTGATAGATTCCCTGATTTTGCTGGAGTACCTACTTCAGTAGCTTCCTAAGTAAAAGTAAACATGAAGTAAAATATTCAGTTCTTGAATGTCTTTATTCTCAGCTCATATTTGATTTGGCCTGATACTTTCCCCTCAGAATTTTGGAGACATTTCTCCATTTATTTGTAATTTTAGCCTCCTGTGTATGTATTAAGAAGCGCAAGGCTATTTTGATTTCCATTTTTTTCCTTTTTTTTTTTTTAAGATTTTTAGGATCTTCTCTTATTCCTGTTGTTATAAAATTTCTCATTGTATACTATAGATTGATCTCTTTCTATTTATTGTGCTGGGCCCTTGTGGAATGCGTCTGATAGGTCTGGGAGATTTTTCTGGTTTGCTTTATTATAATCTTAGTTTTTCCATGAGCACTTTTTCTGTGCCTTTTATTCATAGGATATTAGACCTATTAATCCCAACTTTAGGATTTTACTTAGAGAAATGCTGCATGGAAGGAAATAGGAAGTCAGAGCAAATTGGGCGTATGTCAGACCAAACTGGTAGCCTGACCCAGAAGAAGAGAGCCAGAGAAAGTTGGGCACAAGTGTCCTACACACTCCTGAAATCTACTGTTCGAGAAAGCCTTCAAGGGATCCTTGAGCAAAAGTCAGCTGACAAAGGAGCCCCCTGTCTCTTAGAAATGATTTAGCCTTATTATTTCTGCTGCACTCAATCATTGGTGGTAATCTAACCCCAGGCATGGACTCAATGCAAGTGCTGGGATGGATCTCAAAGTGATGCACCTGGGGCTGTGGTCTATTAACTGCCTTCCCTAAGTGGCCTGAGGTGCCAACTGCAAAGAGGGTTCTATTATCATGTGATGTTGAATGCATTCATTTATGTACTGTGCCCAGAACAGTGTCAGGCACATTATAAGCACTCAGAGAGCATTAACTATTGTTACTGAGTGCCAAGGAGAAGCCTGCAAGGGTGTGCGGTTAGCTAAAGAAATTGCTATCAACTGCATGCTCTAAACTTCAGGATCTATTTAGTTTGACTTTATGCACTATTCTAATAAGCTTGGTTAAATTGAGATAAGCCAAAGCCAGGTTAGAAATGGCAGAGTAAAAAGAGATGGGGAGCTTATTAGTATTATAATCATCACAAAGTTGGGAAAGGCACATTTGACAGCAAGAAAAGAGACAGATAAACAACAAAAAGCAAACAAAACAAAAGCACATATTTTGAGGATTTTTACATTAAGAAAGTTAGCCCAGCAACTTCAATAGGCATGAATGTTTCTTGGTATTTCATAAATGTAACAATAGATGCTCATAATAATGACTGGTATCAAGAAAATGTTTTACTGGCACATTGAGGAAGCAGGAAAATATAAAATGCATTTAAAATGATTTTCATCCAGAATAGTTAAAACTGCAGAGGAGCTCTGCTAGAAAGACTAAATCCTCTAGGATTCTGGAAAGCTGTTTTATTGATCTAATTAAATAGATGGCTTTTTTGTTTTCCTGTGCATAATTGCATATTATTTATTTATTTATTTATTTATTTATTTATTTATTTATTTATTAACTGAGCCATCCTGCCACCTGTTGGCAGCTCAGTGGCAGCTCAGCTTGGGCCGGGCATCAAACCACTGTTGCTCAGAGCTCAAACTCATGAGCGAGCTCTTAACCAACTGAGCCACTCGGCTGGCCCAAAATGCATATTATTTTTACTATCACTTGTTAATTAACAATCCTTACCCTTCTCATTTTACAACCTGATTTCATGTTGAGATTCCCCACACCTTTGGTGACATGCAGCATCACTGCCCAGGTTCCCTTGCTTCGTAAGCAAACATAAAATCTCTGTGATAAATCATGAATACCAGCAGAACTTCCAAGTCATTTAAATTAAGCTCCTCAGATGGGCTTGGCCATGCCATGACTGTCACCAAGGAGCTTCTCACTTCAACAGCACACATGCCCCAGGATGCCTGTTTGGACGTCGCCTGGCCCTTCTTCCTGACAGCCAGCTGGTTTCAGTTTGACAGCACTTCCTTGCTTCTACCCAGCATTCCTTTCACATGTGCCCGCTCTTGCATATGAACCACTGGCACACACAGTGCTTTCACGAACATTAGGCTAACAAAAAAATCGCTGTCGTGGGACACAACATCAAGACCTTTGGAGAATAACTAAAGAACTTGATGATAGCTCATCTTCTAACCTCTCAGGGGACTGTCAGACCCTGAAAAGCTGCTGTCTAGAACAACAGACTTCCACTGTGAAATTGGGTTGCTTACAGCAGGCAAAGTGGGACAGCCACAGCCACACAAAGAGT